GATTCTGTCTTCATAGCTAAGAGATGCTGAAGCAGACACTACACTTTACTTTAAAAAGCCTTTAAATTCAATGGCATGTTATATGGCCCCCAAGCAATTTGATAGTACATACAAGAGACTTCTGGTGTGTTGACTTTGGGGGGGACAGGGGAGGCAAGGGTCTCATGTAACCCAAGCTATCTTCAAATTCACAATGTAGCCAAGAATGACAATAGACTTATCTTTCTCCCTTCACCCTCCAAGTGTCAGGATTATAGTTTCGCACCACTATGCCTGCTTTAGGGAGTCCTAGGGATCGAACCTAGAGCCTTGTACATGCTAGAGAGGCACTCTACCAACTGATCCACATCTCCAGCCCAGTGTTCCCTATCACTGTGTCTCACACCAGTACCCTACACTTTGTCTTAAGATTTGTGTGTTTGGGGGTTGGAGAGGTGGCTCAGTAGTTAAGAGCACTGGCAGCTCCCAATTGTCTGTAACTCCAGTTTCAGGGCATCTGGCACCTTTCCATTGACACACATGCAGGCAAAACACCAATGCACATAAAAACAAATCAATGTTTTTAAAGGTTTGTGTATTTTACTGTCTGTATATTGACAAATGTTGTGGTAGTTGTATACATCCTGAGGTTTAGTGATACCTGACACATACGCAAATGCATCAAAAAGATGGAGCATGGAAGAAGATGACTAAGAGATTGGTAGATACAGTGACAGAAAGATGGTAAAATCGAATGTGGCTAATGGATACAGGCACAGTTAGTGTGGTGACTTGAATGAGAATGGCCCCATAGACTAGTAGATTTGGTCACCAGGGAGTAGCACTGTTTGAAAGGATTAGGAGGTGTAGACTTGTTGGAGGAAGTGTGACACATGGGCTTTGAGAGTTCAAAAACCCATGCTGTGCCCAGCCCATCTCTCTCAGCAACAGCCAAAGCACCCACCTGCCTACAAGCTGCCATGTTCCCCACCATGATGATAATGGAATAAACCCCCGGAACTGTAAGGCAACCCCAATTAAATGTTTTCTCTTATAAGAGTTGCCATGGGTGTGGTGTCTCTTCATAGCAACAGAACACTGACTAAATAGTTAGTACAGTGGTTTCTACTTCTTTGTGCGCTTGAAACCCTTCGTATATGACTTATTTATTTTTATTTTGCTTGAAACCCTTTTTAATGCTGCTTTGGAAAACACAAAATTGAAAGCAAACTGAAGCATCAATATAGAAAATAGTAAAATAGCCCCTGGCACAGACTATTTTAGTCCATCAAGGTTAGGGTTCTATTACTTTAGGGATAAGGAGTTATCCGGACCAACTGTCAAGTGGAAACACCTGTGGGAAATCTCTACACTGTGTGCACATGTGTGTTCATGTATGTGTGCATGTGTGCATTTGTGTGAGTGTGTGCCCCATATGTGTGTGCATGTCCACATGTGTGCATGTGTGCACACATGTGTGTGCATGCTCACACACGTGTGTGAATATTGTTTTCCAGCCATAGTGTGGTATACTAATACATGATTTTGAATACATGGAGCACACTGACTAGTATCCAAACCTTAGTCCTACCCCATATCGTTTGCTAAAAGTGCCTGCATTTACCTCACTTGTCAAACAGAAACACGTACACTGCTGTGTCATGGTGGGGAAGATAAGGTAAGCTCTGCTCAGGGAGGTCCTGACAAGTCATTTCTGCTGAACATACTCCAGAGGAAGAAGAGGGAGTTGACCTTACAAAGGGTGTTCCAGAAGGCACAGGGAGGACTCATAATAATATGCATACTTGGGACCAGGGACAAAAACAGTTGGCTGATGGCAGGGAGAATCTTGCTCCACTAGCAAAACCATCCTCGTATATAGTGGCTTGGTTCAGTGGGGAGGTCTCAGGCCACTGTCTTTCCTTGGTCCAACACCACTGAGTACCCTTTGCCTAGGTCCTACACTTCCACCCTTGCCCTGACCCGTGTGGTGATGTTGGGTGCTGTTTACTAAGACTATCTAGCCCTAGCTGGCCTTGAACTCACTTTGTAGTCCAGCCTGTCCTCAAACTCAGCAATCTTCCTGCCTCTGTCTCCCGACTGCTGGGATTACAGGTGTACACCACACCTATTTAAAACAGTATGGCACGAGTTGGTCTCAAGCTCTTGGTGCTCCCACCTCATCATCTTAAGCAAATTGCCTACTGGCAATGCACCACCCCACCCCAACAGACCTGCCCCTGACTTAAACCCACACACCCTGAAAAAAATAAAAGCTCAACAAGACTTTCTCCCAGAAGCCCATTCTGACCCGACACATTAGGTTGGTTTCCCCAACGAGGGCCCCTTGAATCCTCCTCCTTCGTGTGCTTTGAGCCTGCTGTTTATTTAATATGTACCGTTAGCTCTCTAGCACCCAGCACAGTGCCTGGAGCACACAATGCTCTAGACAAGTAATGTACTGTAAATGAATCCCAAGTGTTTAAGAAAGTAATTTCACTCTCCGTGTATTGAAAAGTAAATTGAAAAGAGGGCATGGATTAGAACAAAGCGTAATGACACACATATGAAATGCATAATAAAACCCATTGTGTTTTATGCTAACTTTCAAAGTTAATAAAAATTAAACTTTGCATATGTAAGAAAGCCTGAAATCCAATGCATTTCTCTCATGAAAACTGCAATAGGAACTTTTTCCTGATAATTTATGTTCAACTTGTTCCTGCTTATTTTAAACAATATTATTCTAAATTTATACTTTGTTTACCATACCAACCAGTTTAATTCAACATACCTACTATTTTCTGGTTTTGCTAATACAACTTTCAATGCGTAAGTATTTCTAAATAATATAAGCTAAAATGCAATGAAGTGAAAATTACAAATGGTATCCACAAAAAAAAGGAAAGAAAACCAGAAAATAAAGAGGTCAGGGGAGGAGACATGAAGCAAACCCCACCACATCCACACTTGTCCCAAGAAACATTATAACGCTCTGAACTATTGAAGCCAGCATCATGTCTCTTGCAGCTGAACTCCTTCCCTGGAGCAGGGAAAGTCAATAGTAGAAGTCTCCAGTCCCAGCCCCTCCTGCTGCCAGCCTTATGCAGAACTGGTGTTTGCCTTGCAAGCCGACACCCTGCTGGCAGCTGCTCCATGCACAGGGATCCTGTGAGAGTCTGGGTTCTGAATTTCTAGCAGAAGAAATTAAGACACCTGAGTCATATGACTGGACAGACACAGGCAACCAGCATGGTCACATTAGCAGTAATCTACACTTGGAAAATGGTACCGCTGGAATGGTTCCTGGGGTCATCTCTAGTCTGTCTCCTATCTAACCATTTTGTTGTCAGGGATTCTGAGTCCTGAGATGGACAAGGACTTATTCAAGATCACGATGCTTTGTAAGAATTCAACTGGACAGGTGGCCATATTGCTAATGGATAAATAATCAATCTTGTGGATAAGTAATCTCATAAAAAGAGCAGGCACTCAGTCAGGTTTAGTGAGTAGCTGTCACTCAGAGAAGCTCCTTAACCTATGTCTACAACATTGCTCCCACAACCAACACAAAAGTTACTTGGGACAGACGGCAACTGACCTCTTCTAGCATTTCCCAAAGCCCCAAGGCTGCCTTGTCCATGATGATGGTCCAGCCTCAGGGGCAGCCCCATGCAGTGACTGATAACTGTAAGGGTACCAAGCTCAATAGGAGCAGCCAGACCAAACAGAGCCAATGCTGAAACTCCATCCCTGTCTTCTGCCTGCCCTGCTGTGTCCTGTACCCTCTTCAGGGAACGTCCCACTCTCACAGCTCTGCCTCAGTCTGTTGCCAGGGAAACCTCACTGAAGGAGATACAGTCAGAGACAGAAAGTGGATAAAAGCTGAGAAGATGGCTCTACCCAGCACCAGGTACTGCCTAAGTAGCAGGTCAGCGCTTGCTGGGACAGATTCCCCTAGGGGAAAAGACACATCCCCTCGGTCTTTTAAAAAACAAAAAACAAGAGGTATTTGAATGGAAGCCTGCTCCCTCCTCCAGAGGAAATCACCACTGCTGATTACCCCAGACCCCGGGTATCTGTGACAGTTGCTGGGCCACCTAGGAGAACTCCTGAGACTTGACATGGTCATCAAGTTATACCCATGCCCTTCAGGACATTCACAGACTTCAGCTCTGTCATTATTTCTCTCACCCTGTGAGACACGAATGGATTACCCCGGATCTTCAAGGAAGCCAGCTAGGTCCTCTTGGAGTCACAGACACCACACCCCAGGTCGGGTAGCGACCTGCCCCCCTTCTGCCTTCCCTCTGAATTCAGAGGTTTTCGTGGGAGCTAATCAAAAGCTGTCAAGAGTTTTGCCCATATCTTTCTGGAACTGGAAAAGTCAGGCTGTGCCTTTGACTTGCCTCACTCTTCTTTTTTAAAGGAAACCATGTGTATATTTCCTTTGCCAAAGTTAGAGTGGAACCCAAGGAGTTTCACCGGTTTTCACAGTTGGACAGAGGTATTAACCACGGCCGTCTAGTGCCTGTTTGTGTCTGTTTCCGGAGCACTCGCAGGGGGCTGTCATAAGAAATGACATCATCTCATGGGCTGTACCTGTAGGAAGCCACGGCCTCCAGTCAGGATGACCTAGACCCTCTGAGTCCCAACTTGGGAGGTCCCCATCTGTTCCACTGTCCTACCCCACTGCACAATCCCCTTAAATTCTGCTTCTGCTGTGGGGACCCTGACAGTTCCAGCATTGGACATGCATTGCCCGGCTCCTTCTTACCAGCAAGGGCCATAGAGGAAGCCAGGTGTGTTCACCCCTTAGGGAGAGACCCCGTGATATGCACTTCACCCCTCTGTCAGGTTCATGGAGGGTGAGAGCCCAGCCAGCCCCGGCAAGGACAAACAGACTCACAGCACACGTGTGCACCAAGTAAGAAAAACTCCTCTCCCACCCCTCCAGGAAGATTTCCAAAAAGATCAGGCCCTTTCAAGTCCCCAGAGACAGATGAAGAGGCTGCACTTACCGGCCTCCCTCCTGGGGAAGATGGTCCTCGGCAAACTCATGAGCAAGCGGGCAGTGAGGGCCAGCTACAGTCTCCCACAGACCGCGCACAAGAGGCAGGGGAATCCGCCGCTTCTCCGGCTCAGAGTCTTTGAATGGGAGTTACAACTACAAAGTGACTCTCTTCTTAGAACTGTTTTTCCTCGGCAGGGAGGGAGGAAGGGAAAAAAATCCCTTTCCCACTGCCAGAAAATCTTTAACGTTTCACAACGGTCGCTTCCAACTCCGGTCTCCGTGTGAAGCGAGTGTGTATTTCACTGGACTGGAGGGAGCCCTCAGATCCTGTGCCTCTTCCCGGACCACAGACAGAAATGCGAAAACCTCAGCCTTTCCCGTGGACTTGGAGAATGCTGTGAGAGGGCAGAACCCAGAGAGGTCCGACATATGGAAAATGTGCCCCACTGTTGGGGCCACCGAATCACTCCAGTCTCTGTGCCGCCCCTAATGTTTCCAGAGAGTTCTGCTGTGTTTATGTACTTGCATGGGACAAACACAACACCCCAAATCCTAGCCCCGCGTTACAGTGATTCATTTTCTCCCTCTCAGACAAACACAGCGCCTGTTCAATCCAAGTGGGAAACGCCTTTCATAAAGTGTGCTCAGGGTCTGGGCAGAGTGGCTGGTGGTGAATGAAGCCTGTGTCCCCAGAAGGGCAGAGGGGCTCTGGGGAAGGAGGAGGCTGACTTTAATCAAGACAAACAGAAGGATCTGGGCTCCTGCCCCATGTCTGGAAAAGGAGGGATCAAAGAGCAGGGGTTCCAGCGCACTGTTAAATGTCGTCAGCCTCCTCTGCCCAATTTCCCCTGCTTGCCTTCTTACACTGGGTAGTATTTTTGGACTTGGACGAGATGTACTGTTATTTTAAGTGACCAATTTGACTGCTGGCTTAAACGAACCATTGGATTTCTTCACTGAAAAGACAAAAGGGATACATAGTAACTGGGCGAACAGAATTAGAGGTGGTGGGGACAAACAAAACAGACTCTTTGGGTCAAACAGGACAAGGTGACACAGACCCTGGAGCAGCTCTTGAGGAACCTGTCAAGTGGCCTGCGTCTTCCCAGCATAGGCTCCTATGGTAGCTGTCCTGAGCTCTTTGAACCCGTGTCATTGTACTCAAGTGACACACCTATGCACACACAAATATACCTTAGATTGAGGCTTCTTAAAGTGTTTTTTTCTCATGATTCCTTTTCACCCAAGAAAAATTTACATGTCCTTGGGGGATACAGGTATTTAAAATAGATATCAAAATCAAACATTTCCCAACAAATTGTTAGTATTCAGGCACCTGTACTGACCTGTCCTTGGGGTTCTGACAGGATATGCCCTCAGCTGCAGCCACTGAGAGCTCCACCTGGGCACATTCACTATGTTTCCTTTTTAAAGGGCCCTGCCCACCTCCCATCCACCTCTCTTTTTCTCTTCTCTCTCTCTCTCTCTCTCTGTTTGTTCCTCTCTATGTGTCTCTCTCTGTGTGTCTCTTTATCTCTGTCTCTCCGTATCTCTCTGTCTCTCTATGTCTCTTTCTGTCTGTGTCTCTCTCTGTCTCTCTATCTCTCTCTGTCTGCCGCCTCTTTCCTTTCTCCTGCTGCTCCTGTCCCTGGAGGCTGGTCTCCCTTTTTATGATCCCTTTCCCTAATTAAAAAAAAACTCTGCTTTAACCCTGTTGCATGGCATCTTTCTCCTGAACACTGCTTTTCTTACATTACAACACAAATTACAAAGACATTTGTTTTAAGACAATTCATCGGCATATCTACAATTTCACCATTTATTAAAGAAAAAGGCATACCAGTGGGAAGGACTTATTTTTACATAAAAGGGTAAATATTTGATGGTGCAGAATTTAGAGTTGTCCAATTTTTTGATTTTGTGATCATCAATGCAGAGAACACTGCTTAGAATCAGTATGTAGCAAAGTAAGTTTAGGGTTATTTCAGAAATGGCTGGACATTCTGTCCTAATCACAAGATGAAATACATGTAATAAATTTTTAATGAAACTCAAATCAGCAACTTACAGCAATTTTTAATTAATTCATTGAGAATTTCATAGATCTATTTTGGTCATTTTCACCTCTCATGCCCACTTCCTCCCAGATTCACTCTCCCCTCCCTCCCCTCCTCCAATTTTGTGACCTCTTTTCTCTCTCTTTATTTTTAAACCCATTGAGTCCAATTTGTTCTGTCCACATTCTCTTGGGTGTTTGAGCATCCACTGGATCGTGGTTGATATACCAGGAACTACACCTTTAAAGCAAACCGACCCTCTGTCTCCCAGCAGCTATCAGCTGCCAACGCTCCTTAGCTAGGCATGGACTTGGTGCACACCTCCTCTATCCATGTTGTCATTTTGTCTGGCTTGAGCTTGCACAAGTCTTGTGCATGTTGTCATGACTTTTGTGAGTTCATATGTGCAGCTGCCCTGTTGTGTCTGGAAACCACTCTTTCCCTGTAGTCATCCACTGCATCTACCTCTGACAGTCTTCCCACCCTCCTTCCCCTGAGCCTTTGGAGCGGAGTGTGCTACAGACGTCTCATTCAAGGCTGAATATCCCACGGTCTCACTCTCTTCACCTTCCCCAGCGTGTATCTCGCAAACATTCTTTTTAAATCAAGGAGTCCATCATAATGCAATCCATGGGCTTACATATTTAATACTTGCTGGGGTATGGTGGTAGAAAAATATTAAGCCTTTGTTATCTATAACTAACCCATTACAATTCAAAAAGGAACAGAAAGCTTTGGATGCATTGTGTGAGCCCCTGCAGTTCATGGCATAGTCTCGCATCTGAGTGGAGACTTGGAAGACAGTGTTTACTGTCATTATGTGGCTGATTTTGTGATGCATAGTAGTAGCAGTGGTAGTAGTAGTAGTAGTAGTAGTAAAGTTATAAAGTTAAAGTAGTATAAAGTAGTATAAAGGTTATAAAGTCGTGAGACCCCATGAGCACAAGCCAGAACTTTCAGAAAAATCTTAAATCTGGTAAGTGTTCCATTTAAATTAGAATTTGATCATTGTACGTTCAGAAATCTTTTACTCTTGGCAAATTTTCCACAACCCTCACATTCAATTGTGTGATCCCATATGGGGTAGATACCCACACCTGAAAAAGATGGGTCTAGATCATTATTGTCCCTAGACTAACAATGTGGGTTACAAGAAAGGGCCCTGCTATCAGCACCCGAGGTCAGAACAGCTCCCTGAGAGTCACCCTGGGTGAGGGTTGGGGAGGGACCTAGAAAGCACTACCTGCTGTTAGCTCTACTCTATACTGATCAGGTAGTGAATATCCCAGATGATGTAGGATGCATCAGGAGAGCCTCACCCTGCCTGCCATTTCCATAGTCCCCAACAAAACAATTTACAAAACAAGGTGTATTGCTCATCCACCTACATGACACAAAATTAAATTTGGAGAAGTAAAACGGACTTGCTTTTTATTTTCATGAATATTGATTTGTACATTCCATGGCCTGTTACATTAACCCCACAACCCAGAAAGGAGCCATTGTTTTAATCCATGCCAAACAAATTAATTAAACACATTGTACAGGAAGGGGGGGAGTATGTTGTTCAATGATGGAAACCCCACTTCACTCTCACTCCCGTTGCCCATTTCCTGGACTTCTGTGTTCCCCTTTGGCATTTTCAAATCATGCATGACACAGAACTCCAAGGTACTGTTCTTGTCCAAGAAGGTCTGTACAGCAAGGGACCTACTCTCCTCCAGGTTCTGTCCTCAGAAGACATCAGATTGACTTTCCATCCCTCGGCCACTCCCCCCACATTCTTACAGACAGAGATGCCTACCACATGTAGTGATAGTGGACAGCCTGCACAACAGAGACCCAAGAGAATTGCAGATGACTCAGAAAATCCAGGAAAACGGTTAGGGCCTAATAGTAATCATTAAACCATGTGTTTTAAACCCAAGAATGGTAAGTCTGTCTAAAGATCAGTGTTCCTGTTTTTCATTGTCAAGAATATTTGTCAAGAAGTAACTCAAGGAAGGAGGAGTTTATTTCTACTCACAATCTGAGGGTACAGATGGGGAAGGAGCATGAGGTGGCTGGTCACATCATGTCAGCAGTCAGGAAGCAGAAAGATGAATGCTCATATTCAATGTGCTTTCTCCCTCTTATTCAGTGCAGGACCCTACCCCAAAGGATGGTGCTGTCCACATTCGAGGTAGGTAGGTCTTCTCACCTCAGTTAAACTGTATTGGAATCTCCCTCAAAGACATGGTTAGAGATTTGCCTCATAGGTGATCCTAGACTTTGTCAAGTTAACAACATAGATTAGCCATCATCACTAGACATTGTCCAACCAATCCATTATTTTTTAAATGTTCATAGGCTTTGTCATTTTTTTTTAAGCTCGGCGAATGAGAAAAAAACTATCGTATCAACTGATGCTATTTTAAACACTTTTTCATTTTTAAACGTTGATGATAAGGATAAACTAGGCCCCAAACAGTATTCAAAGAAGAACAAATGCACATGCAGATTGCCTCTCTAACCTGGAAGACTGGTAAGTACAAATCATAGAGAAACAACCCTCAAATTCTGATTGGTCGCCAATGATTAGAGATCTCAACACCTGCTCAGCTGTCAGCTAATGCTCACACTTTATACAACACAAAGAATGGAACAGCCACAGATGTTGTCATTAGGCCTCAGTTTCCCCCATTAAAAATATAGAAACAGATGCTCAGAGAGCTTAGGGAATTATTAAGAAATGACAGAGGTGGGACTTACACCCAGTATTCATACGAAACAAGCCAAAAAATGCATCAATGACAAGTCCCATCACATCAGTCTCCAGGTGAGACAGCAATGATTTTTGGTACCCAGACTGATCCATAGTGACCACCATTTCATGTGTCTTGAGAGAACAAGCCTCTTGTCTCAAAGCATAGAACAGCAAGCACTGAAATGGACCAATGTGAAGTTGCTATGGTTGGATGAGCAACAGGAAGGAGTACGACTGCTGTCTTCATCCCTACCTTAGCAGGCCCCAGAACTCCGCTGAGCACCTGCAAAGACTTGCATTCTATGGTGGCCTTCCAACACAAGCATGGGGATGCTGAGGCATAAAGACAAGGAGTCATACAGGCAAAGAGTGTTCTAAAGATCATTGCCCACTTTCTCTACCCCCAAATCCAACTCTGTCCCCAATGCTGGTGGTTAAGGAGTCATTCATTCACTGCACTGCTCTGTCCACAAATGCCAGCAAGATGAGTCAAAGACACTTGGGCCCAGGGCTGCCTCGTCTGCAGGTATTCCTGGCCAGGGACTTTTCAGCAAACTGCAGAAATGGATCCAACCTTAATTCACCTTCCATGTGTTTTATACCTATCACATCTTATATGGTTAACTTACAGACTATATTTTCTAAACACTCAA